AACGAACCTTCAAGGTGAAGCTGAGAGCCTTCAGAACAACTGGAGACAGGCCATTGTAATTCAAGGTCAACATTCAGAAACTAGGACAAAGCTACAAGGGGTACCTTCTCTACAGATCAGACCACAGCAAAGTCGGAGACACTACGTGGCATCCACTAAGGAAACCTGCGTGGAAGTACATTGTAACTAGTTCTCTGAAGGTGATGTTCAAGGAAACGTGTACAACTGGTCTAGGAGGTAGAAGAGACGTAGCAAGGAATGGTTCTCAACGGATACCTGAAAGCTAATCGAGTAGAGGAGGATGGTGAAAAAATGACTCAATGCAGAGACCGACAACAGAAGGAGAAGCTGAGTTCAATATACACTGCGCTGAAACAAGGAAGACGTGAAGAAAAGTGCTAGGAAAGACAAAGGACAACTTTACGACATAATGGTTGGCAAATGAAGCAGAACAGGTAGGCCACAGGTAAAATAGACGTCAAAACATTATATCAGGTAACCATGTCTCTATCCAGGAAAAAGTTAAGGCAAGCAAGGCCTATAAAAGATGTGCAAGGGAACCTAATTACCAAGGAGTAGAGACAAGTTAAACGATGGACTGATCACTTCAAAGGACTCTTGAATGGACCAACATCGGCAACTCGCCCAGAAATACCACCAACAGCACGCAAAGAACTACCTGTCAGTGGACACCACTCCCCCAGGTCGGTCGGTCGGTCGGTTTTCGACATAGAACTTTGCACATATGTGCGGCAGTTCAAGTCGCCACAATCTATGTAGCACGCAAAGCAAGAGAAGGAAGTAGAAGAAATGCATAATATAGACAGTAAACAGAGGTGTGAGACAAAGGAATAGTAATAACGGAGAACAAAACAGTTTAATTGGAAATCATAAGTCACAAGGAATGGATGCATCTGCGCCACTGAGAACGATTTTGAGCCATGTCACCAATTGTTTCCAACCATTGGTTTTTACCATCCCGAGGGCCCCAACCAGGAAGTCTACATCTTCCTACGTGGCTTAGATTGACTGTCAGTGGACACCACTCCTCCAACGAAAGGGGAAATCCTGAATGCGACCAAGCTACTGAACGACGGCCAGGTGGTCAGCAGGGCTAGACGGAATTCCCCCCGAAACACTGAAGACGGACCCAGAGACTGTAGCAGATATGCTGACGCCATTATTGAAAAGGATTTGGAAGGAAGGGCAGGTGCGTACTGATTGGAAGAAAGGTTACCAAAGAAGGGAGACTTGGGTCTCTGCAGGAACTGGCGTTGAGTCATGGTCTTGTCTACACTAAGTGAAGTGCTAAGTCGTATCATCCTGAAGAAATTCGAAGGTACACTCGATGCAGAACTCCGGCCACCGGAACAAGCTGAATTCAGGAAAAGCAAACCATATGCAGATCAAATGGCAATTCTACGCATCATCATCACCGAACAAAGCATAGAATGGCAGTCAAACTCCTCTCTACCTCAACTTCGAAAAAACCCTCGATCATGAAGTAATTTGGAAGCTACTTCAACACTACGGCGTGCGCCAAATCTTTATCAATCTTATTCAGCAACTATAATGACATTGTCATGTGTCAGATGGTGCACAACGGAAAACTCAACAAAGCCTTTGAAGTGAATACAGGAGTAAGACAAGGCTGCCTATTATCATCGATGATATTCTTAACTGTGGCGGACTGGATTTTGCGTCAGACCGTGCGTTGTGAGTGAGAAGACACAAATACTCCAAACTGGTTGGAAGACTCTGGAAGTTCTGGATTTCGCAGATGATATATGTCTAATGTCAAACACACTCGAAGACTTGCAGAGGAAAACCAACGAACTGGCTGAAGAAGCAGGCAAACGGATGAATATGTCAAGACCAGAATTGGATAGGCGAGATACCCCTTCATCAACCTAAAACCAGTTTGCAAATCTTCCGCACTCAGCATAAGGAACAAGATTCGCATTTTCAACACCAATGTCAAGTTGGTCAGTTCTTCTATACGAGTCAGAAACTTGGCTAGCCTGTCACGAAAAGGATTTCCAACAGCCAGTTTCAAACTTTCATCAACAGCTGCCCACTTCCGTGGCTTCATACTGAAGGTCAAATGGCGGGCCAGAAAGAATTAGCAACAAGGAACTCTGGCTGGGAACAAACCAACAGGCAAGAGCCGATCACTCAATAAATATGTAGGAGAAAATGGAGATGGGTCGGGCATATGTTGAGGAGGCCTTCAAATGAAATCACACGCAGGCCATCGCTTAGGTGGAATCCCAATGGGAATCCACGAGTGGGTCGTCGGTGCAAGGGTGACATGGAGGAGATCGTTTGGGTGGGAAGAGATGAGAGATTATGGTCATTAGTGGACCCAGTTGAAGAGGACGGCACCAACTAGAACAAAATGGAGATATGTTGTTGAAGTCCTATGTTCCATTCGGAACCCAAGGGAATAATAATAATCTACCTCACCATCGTGATTTCTTCTTACTGTTATTACTATTCCACCGGCAGGTCCCCTACTTTCTTTTCAGTGACCAACGATAATGACAAGAGCCGGATACTCTCTATAAGCCCCACTGCTAACTTAACGTCAGGATCCTCTGCTAAGTCGGACAACAGGCATCAATAGTCAGAACTCTGGCATCTCGAACCATAGATGTACGTTTTGTTTCGGAGATACACATACAAGATCCAAATGTAGTTGTTCACTCCACTACACCTGGCCAATAGGGTGAATCCGCGAGAAAATCTCTACTTGACTAGATCCCAGTGGATAGTCATGTGTTTTTTGTCCGTCTGAACAGATCCATATGAAGAATGAACTAGGATGCCCATCGATGTCTTTTCATCGTCCGAAGTAAATCAGAGATAAGCTATAATTGGTGAAGGATAGTAGAAGGTTGTCGCGTAGACTCCGGTCACAACCCAGTCCGTGCACATTTATGCTTACGTCTGAATAGACAACAATAAAGCTGTTACGCCCCCCCCCCCCACCAACTTGATCACGACAGAGTTATACTTAAGGAAGAAATAGCTAAACGTGTGTCGACAGCAAGACCACCCCTGAAGAAGCCTGGCAAAATATCCAGTCAGCTGTAGATATATCTATAAAGACTGTTGGCAATCTAAAGCCAAAGATTAGTAAAAGCCAGTGAATTTCTGCTACTTCAGCTGAACTGATGGAAGCAAGAAGACAAATTCCAGCCGCCTCTGAATATGACGAGGGGCGAGGGCTGCTCAAACAAAAACCGAAAAGTCTTCACAACGACCGGGAACAGTGGTGGGCGACAAAAGAGAGAGATGGAAACGACACCAGCGATAGATAACACCAGACAACTATTTAGGCTTATCAAAGAAACAGATAGCAAAAAGCAAATGATGAGTGAGACTTTCTCCGACAAAATGGCGCTTTAACTATCTTTTGGGGTAGAAGACTGGAACGTTGGAAGGAAAATCTAAATGAACCCCCAGCCACGCTCAACTTGCCAAGCATCTAACATCTCCCTGAATGGCATGTGGCCAGCGTCCCTCCGTCCCTGCGGTTACAAAAGCTCTCTAATTTGAAAAGAAGCAAAGCAGCGGGACCTGATGCAATGACTCCAGGCGTTTATGAACGATATTAACAAATTGCTACGCGTTACGCATAACTAGCCATCGTCTTCCTTGAAGTGCAGTGTTGCCTGATATAGAGTCATGTTCGAAAAGAACTAATAGTGGTCAGACCACAGCTTGGAATCAGTCTATGACATCTTCAACAGTGAGCAGGTGTAGACCGCCTGATTGCGGTCCTTGTGATCGTAACCAATGGCTGGAGACTATTGGTGATATGGCTCAACATCGTTCTCAATGATGGCGTAGATGCATTCACTCTCCCTGAACCCCCCCCCCCAAAGATCCATTAAAGCTTATTGTTTTTCCATGTTACTATTCTTTCTCCCTCACTTTTCTGCTTGTTATTGTTCTTTCGAACCTCAATTTTACTCTTGTCTTCCTTTGCGTGGTGCATGCAGTGTGACAACTTTAAATACTGCACTTTTGCGCAAAGTTTGACTTTGAGAGCAGTCAGTCAAAGTATTAAGTTACACTTGCCACCTAATTTTAATCTACACTTGACACTCCATTTATACAAATGTGAGGCCGATAAGAATGAATGCTACTCAGCAAATTCGCAAATAATTAAGCATTTGGTGACGAACCTCACTTGTTACACCAGGAACATAACTTTGTTTCTCAAAACCGCGGTAGGTAACGTAAGATTCAGAGATACACACCAATGGTCTCAGATATAGTGTTGAGATTAAGCAGCCATTTCCCTACAAATATTTCAGAGTGGTGAAGGACGAATGAGAAAGAGGCAAAAATAATCACCGATGAGTAATTTAATTTTAACACCTAATAAGTTTCACCCTTCGTAAACAGACCTCGAAAATGTCACGACTTAATGTTTAAATGTCACAAGTATACCTCAATTTAAACTACCCGTAATCTGAGTGGCTAGAATATTATGCCTGGGAGCAAGCCCAACTCAGATATGTGGTCAGTAGTGAATTATCCGCGACAGAATACTGCTGAATCAGTTATGAAACAAGGACTACGTAAGGTCGAAGTTAATCATATATATTATCTAACATTCTACAAACATGGTCGAAGCACTGAATTTGATTTTATGATAATATATTATGGATCGCTAACGTAAATCCACATACAAATAACATGCATAGTTTAACTGGAATATGATACTCTATGTGTTAGAATCGAATTTTGAAAAGTCGGAACCGTGTGATGGTAAGTTACTAAACAATTGTTCACTCTCACATTAATTGAGTCGATGTAACCATAGATCAGATGTACGCCTATCTCGTCAGCGTTGGCTTACTTCGTCAAATCCCCACCAGCCTACATGGTCTATACGTTCGAGCAAATTAACCCAACTTATCTAATCAGAAGTAAAAATATCAGGAGAGATGCATAATGGATCACATGAACAGAGTACCACAACCTACCTAGAATAGGCAGGTTAAGCTCGACATATAATCCTTAATCTATCTGTCCTATGATTTGTATCCTCAGAATAAATTCTAACCAGGAAGAGAGAAAATAACACCCGTACCTCAGACAACTGGTTTCGCACCCATCGTTTCAAGGTCAACCGGCGAAGCAGTTATATAGCCACTGATGGATTAAAAGAAGTTGGGTGAGAATAAAATATTACCTTGACAGATATGAAGGTTACTGTCCCACGCGAATCATTTATGTAGATTTTTCAAATTGAAAATAACAGGTTAGACAGTTGTGATGTTTTTGTGATCTCTGAGACTTCAGGTTTATTTGTTAAGCTTACATCGTCCTTCTAGGCAGCAACTTCAGTGCTGAATATATGGTCCAGAAGGCGCAGATGGTGACTGGTAGCCACCAGCTTATAATGGTAATGTTACGCACCCAACGTCATCATTGCGAATTATCAATTCAGGCCTAATATGTTTCAGAATTTTGGAAATATTTCGTTTACTCACATCTAAAAATACTTGCGTTTATCTAATTCTTTGTAGAAGGAATAAATCGAGAGAAAAGGTTCTTATAACGGGTGACTGAAGTTAAACAGGCAGCATGGAGCAGAGTGACTTCTAATTAAATTGGGGATTCTATACTTTTATCTCGTACGTCAATCAAACCGTTGTCTTTACTCTGTAGCGGTAAATAATTCCCCAAAATTATTGCCCACAGCAATCATCACTGAATATCGGATGCTGACTCTCACTGTTTAAGTCGACTTGTTTAGCTGAAGGCTTCCGGTCAAGCATCTTCGCCATTTTGGTACCCCGTCGTGTCACGTGCGAGCACGACCACTAGCTAGTTAAGCAGTCGATACGGTCTACTATTCGGTCCCGAAATATATCACGGGGCGTTGATAAGGCATATCCCCTGTTTGAAGTGGCGCCTCCACCTTTACCTTGGAGACATTTACGCGGTCTAGTTGATTTCACACACAGCGTGACAGTAACAACAACCAGTGTTTTCCTTCAGGGAGACTAATGTCTCCACTTTTGTTTAGCCTCGTCATATTCGCATCAATGATTGTGCCTGTAAAAAACCTTGGCGACTTAAGGATTGAATAGCCAGCAAGGCGTAGTCTCGTTGATTCAGAGTGCGGTGGTGATGATAATGGCTTTCTAGACGAGAACACAGATGAAAAGCGTAGTCTTCTGAATACCTCAATCAGAAATCTTTGAGTGTTTCGAATGTGATTCCTAACGTCACACATGAGATGACGATTGAGAACTGGTCTGAACCCACTACTAGTTTATAATTAGGGAGTGGAAGGGTTGATCATGTTGAACGAGACTTTCAGCAAGTGACGAATATGAACAAAGAGTAAGTTGAGATTGAATAGAGTATAAAAGTGCGTAAATAAAAAGAATTATTGTGAGGTAGGTAAGTGATATTTCAGCGGGAAGTGAGTTCAAAGATCTGGAAGATTAGAACCCGCAGGACAAGCTGACCTGTAAGATGTCGTACGAATTTCTGTAAGGCTAATGGGGTGGCACCTTGACAAGGCTCGTAGATGGTAAGAGCAAAAGCATTTATTAGATCAATTTTAGATTTCTCGTCGATTGATTGGACCGAAGTACTCGGTCTCAGACTGATATGTCGGCTTCTGGTGCAGATAGTTCGAAGATGAATAAGTATTATTTAAATTAGATAAATTTGGTTTGTGGTGAAATTATATGGTCTCTGTCCATTTTGTCTTTAGTTTGTGGGAACAATCTGCTAACTAGTAATTCAGTGGAGCACATCAAGAAACACAGAAATATTGTCTTCACATTAACAAAATAACCCAAGAATGTGTTGAATGGATTGCAAATACTTGAGGAAAAAATAGAGCCTGAAGTCATTTCCCTCATGTAATTTTGTTGTGCATGGCATCGAATCTGATTCTTGGTTTATATCCAAGTTGGGTATTAGCTTAAAATAAGTGATATATTTGTATAGTTTTGATAGCATTTTCATCGTAACACCAGAAGTGAACTATACTTGATGCAGACTAATATCGGTCAATGCCAGGCAGATTTGTCTTAATGCGCCGAGGTCAGTCGCCATTAGTCACTACATGGTTGTTCTGTACCAGTTAGTTGATTAACGGGGATGATGGCTTGCAACATCTCTTATAGGCTACTGGTGATAAGCCAGTGCAAACCTTGTGGGACCATAGGCTGCAGTTGTCACACTGCATACCATCATCCACCGGAAAGTGGCAGTCCGGTCGTCCACAATTGTTATTCGGACCCATAGCGCTAACTTGTTTCAACAACACAAATATATGTACGTGAAAAAACAGTGAGGTTAATACCAACCAAATACACAAATGTATATACGTGAAAAAAACACAAACTGTGAATAATATGAACAACACTTCAACTAAATAAATCAGTTAAAGTGAACTGAAAAGCTTCTAATGTTGTTTAAACAACAAAAGCAGAATTTACTTCAAAACGTAAAAATTCCACTCTCCTTTTTCAAAGCGCGCACTGGAGTAACATACAGTTGCACTAAGAACTTTGTGCAACTCGGTGCACAATAGTATATACACAAATAAACTGAAAAATGATATCCTCATTACCTTCTGAACAACTTTTCCTTATTACAGGATAATAACTTTCGTTCACGCATGAGCCTGAGTTATGTCTATGGAATCACAATATTACATCAGTTAAATCTTCCCCCGAAACCAAGGCCACTTGAAACCAATAGCAACATAGCGACAAGCATCATTGAGGGGATATGCAATAAAGTCGCTCGTGTCGAAGTTGTTGTAGAGAGTCCCTTCAATTTCGTACGATCCTGTGGTTTTATGAATGACTTTCTATGTGGGGAAACTGTTAGTGTTAGGAGTGGAATGGCAGCATCTAAGCACGTGTTTGAGTTATGGTAGAAGATACTCAGAGCTCTCAAGAGGTCATCAGTGGTGAAGTATTCGCCCCATTCGGAGGATCTTAGCATTGATTCTACTAAGGTCCAGTTTGCCTTACTATAGTTCCTATATATTATTTGTTGTGAAGTGGAGGTATGAGTTGCATTGCTATTCAGTGGAAGTGACAGAGCACACATCACTGTTTTGTGGTCACTACCTGAAAACTTAGAACCCACTAAGTTTGAGAGGGGACAGAATATTAAGTCTAGTACATTGTCACCTCTTGTAGGGATAGTGACAGTTTGTTTCCAGCCGAAAATGTCCTATGTACCTCACCACAACATCACATGGACAGATGTACGCTCCTTGGGCACCATATCTTGCTAACAGGAGAATAGCAAAACATGGCAAAACATTTCAAGCCTGACAAGAGTTCTTGCTGCAACAGAAGCCTGGATCGAGTCAAGGGACATCAGAAGAACCACCGACGTCCTTTACACAGACTTCAGCAAAGGCTTCCACAAACTGCTTCGTACGAAACTCTTGATGAAACCTGAGTCTTCGAATCAAGTGGATTAAGGAATTCCTCATAGGGGTTCTTGATTTACTTTGCTCTCTCTCCCTGGACAATGGTTAATAGTGAAGTGTCTCAAGGCACAGTATCCTGCCCCCACTTATTTATCCTGCACATCGAGGCGTCACCTGGGCTCAATGAAACCCCGGTAGTTCTCTACGCAGGTGAGAGAAGCCCAGAGCGCTATAATGACATGCTCACGATTCGGAGGACGAGTCCCAACAAATTGTTAGGCTGGTTGGATTAGTGGATGATGCCAATCAACTCAGCGAAGTGCGCAGTTATGGGATTTGGACACGCAAGAGTCAACCCATACGGACTAGTGATAATGATATTGCAATCAATTCAGACTCACGTGGACCTAGGTGTAATAGAAAACCATGGCCCAAAAATCACGGCGTGCTATCCCACAGTGTTATCCCGAGGTTTTAGGTCATTGTGGAAATACGGGGAGCATTTACTGGGATCACCAGTGGTATGTCCACTTCCTCATGTGCATCTCTAGTTAGGTCAGATATGTGAAACTTCACCCAGCCAGCTGTTGTCTTAATTAGAACTCATGGATTCTAGGAAGGGTTGAAAGGAAGATAACATATAACATTCTTTGCATGACTCATTCATCAAAGGATGACTTAACTGTTTGGATCTCTTCCTTCCTGTCATACTACAGGCAGAGAGGACAAATCAATATATTGTTTAAAATTTTAAGCTAATGGAATGGAAGGAGTGGATGGAATGGAATTGCACTCTACCACAATGCAAAAGTTTTATACTTATATCAATCAACACAACTTGTGTCCGGAGTTTCTCCCATAGTGGAAAGGTCGGAGTGATGTTGGGCTGAAATTATCCCGCATGCTCAAGGTCACTGATGGAGTGAGACGCTCAAAGGTCATTTTCGTCCATGTTAGTCGGTTATGTTGGATTGCAGTTCCGTAGCCGTTCGTTTATACATTGGTTTTACGTTCTGTTGGCATTTATGGGTGATTACCATGTACTGATAGCATTCTTTTGTAACATAGTACTGTTCTTCACACGAAAATAGCCACATTTTGACGTAGTCTTCATTGAATGACACTATGTCGAAAGCTGCAGCTTCTACAAGAAATAAACTATTTGTGTAGATGACATTACCCCCCAACTACCCCATCTTCTTCATTGTAGAGATGTTTTGACGCATTCAGCATGAAACACTAATCATTACAACCAATACGCTAAGTGTGTCGAAGTCAGATTAAATGACGCGGACACCAACATAACTAGCCAGGAAATGAGAATTCCTATCAATCCAGAAAACATATAACAAAATTTTATTTAAAAATTATTGACAAAAAAAATTTGCCGAGCGAAATTTCAACCAACATGCCGGATAAGTCCAGCCGTGGTGTTGCCTCTGAGTAGCGCGTCTATTGAATTGAAGGTCAGTGGGATGCTGCATCTGTTTCGGAAGGCATGGTCTTCTCAGCGAACATCTCGAATAGTTCTCAGATGCCTCTCAACTAAAAACGTAATTGACTTCCGAATTGTTAACGTTTTTTTAGAATGTATCTGATTTGTCCAAAATTCGAAATATTGGTATATCTGCTCACATTGACAGCGGCAAAACAACACTTTCGGAGAGAATCCTATTTTATACAAACAGAATAAATGAAATGCACGAGGCAAGTTCTTTGATTTTTGAATTTTTCTTTCACTGTTTTTTGCCTGACATAATTTACGAAGACCTATAGTGAAATATTTTGTTAGCACTTTGCGTCATTATTTGGATATTTTTCAGACTAAGTGTTGCTGAGGAATAACTAAGTTCAATGATTCATGAGAAATGACTGACTGGCTGGCTGGTTTCGATGTAGAAATTTGGGCAGATGTGCAGCAGTCCAGGTGTCACACCACATGTAGCACCAAAAGCACGAGTAAAGAGAGATAATAAACAGAAATCTGGAGCAAAAAGCATAATAATATATGAGAACGATGCAGTTTTATTGGGTATTACAAATCATGAGTGGTTGCATCTGCGCCATCATTGAAAATGATTTTGAGACGGTGTCTATACCTCCTAGCGTGGCTTAAACTGACTGTTGTAGATTTCGTTGACTGATGAAAGCATGTTTTGGTTTGACCACCACTAGCTATTTCTCAACTTCATTTAGCCTGTCAGCTGCCGCTGCTCGTCGAGGAAGGCGATGGCTAGACGTGCGTAACACATGTCCTAACCATCTCAACCGGTGTAACCTCACAGTCTCGTCTATTGATTTCACCTCCTTCATTAGCACTCGAAGTCTAACCTCAATACTAATCACGACATTACACCACTCAAAACACGAGATAGAACGCAGGCACCTACAATCAAGCACAGCTAGCCAGCCTTTTCATGTCTTCCACTAACAATGATCACGTCTCACTCACACCTATAAACGAGGATGGAGCGAACTACTGAGCACCAAACACGTCCTTTGGTCGACAGCCAACCGGATATCACGTCTGCGCCACAGATGGCATAGGTCGGCATGTGCCAAACCAGCCTTTTGTATCCGCGCTCAGACTGATTCAACTCCCCGACTAAGTGAAGTGGTCAACAGACATCACCACTCAACTCCACTCCTCATCTTTAAGCTAGGAATCAGTGTAGTCCAGTCCTGTAGCATCACTTTACATTCGACAGAGCGAGCGAATCACAACCCAAGCATTCGAAGATTTCTACTCCTCAAGGTGTTCAGAAGACTGCATTTTGTCAGCGTCTTCCTCACCTAGCACAAAGGACTATATCATCTCCATATTCTAAGTCAACGAGATTATTCGTTGATGGTAACAAGTCAATCCCTGAGTCACTGAAGTCAGCAGTTAAGGTCCATTAAGTCCATTAGTACATCCACGGTGAAATTAAACAGAAATGGGAATAGTGGTGGACATCCCTGACGGACACCACTAGTTGTCACCACTTCAGATGACAACTCTCCCTACGCTCTCACCTGCCTGACACCATGTGTTCGAGTAGAGTGAGTGTCTTGATCAATATGATGTATTTTCTCGGCATTTCCTCCACAAGCAAACATCGCCCCAGTACTTCTGGGTCGACGGAATCGAATCCCGCTTTCAGGTGTCACATGGCACAACCCAACTCCGCTAGATCATTGGTAGTTATTTAAAGTGGGCACAAAACTGTACATACGAGTGCACTATTTCGTGATGTGGCGCAAAAAGTATTGAGTTAAGAGTTATTTCAGGATAAATGAAGCAGGATGCAAATTGAATAGATATTGCCCATCCGCACTTTAATAAATAAGTGTTGATTTTTTTCCTGAATGTAGTGCCCCAACAATTATTTGAGTTAATATTTCGCACAGGTTTAAGATTATTCTTAGTATCGTGGACAGCAAAGTATATATATATATATATATACTAGGTGTATATGGTGTTGTATGGTTATTTTCACAATCTAGGTTAAAGGAAAAGATGGAGTCGGAGCTGTAATGGATTCGATGGAATTGGAAAGACTTCGCGGTATCACGATCCAGTCAGCATCAACATTTACTACTTGGAAAGACTGTACCATCAATCTCATTGATACACCTGGCCATGTTGATTTTACAGTGGAAGTTGAAAGAGCACTTCGAGTGCTCGATGGTGCAGTCCTCGTATTGTGTGCTGTTGGTGGAGTCCAATGTCAAACCCTCACAGTAACCAGGCAGATGGAACGTTATAAAATACCACGGCTTGCATTTATAAATAAACTCGACCGACAGGGAGCAGATCATGTTCGTGTTCTGAAACAGATAAGGTAATCATGTGTAATTTTACCGATCCCATGGTCTTACTTCTTACCTCGTATCTTTCTGTTTAGTTTTTAACATTTCCACATTGCCTTATGTTCATTTCGGTAGTATGCCTTAAATTAAACTGAAAAGATTTATATATAATACTTTCTAAGAGTTATTTACGTCACTCGTATGGAGATAAAATTTCAGCATTTTATTATTATTATTATTACTATTAATAAGAAAGCCTAGTGTTATCGTGAAAACTTTAGATCAGTGTTGGTAACCTTTACTAGGAATGGCATGAAAATTCCGTTAGCTGAAACCACGTCTCAACAGGTATCACACCCATATGCCATACCTATGTAACTGTCTAACATAACATGTCATACCATTTCAAGTATGAATATAATTACATATTAGGCAAGTGTATTTGATGACACGTAATTAAAGTATTAATAACTGGGTGGTATCGAGCGCAATTTAATACTCATGATCATATCATTGTATTCACACCACTTCCTAACTTTATATATATATATATATATATATAATTTTCTCTTGTTTTTTAATGTATTTTTACATATATCCAGGACATATGTCGCATCATTCGATATTGTGATTATGTCCAAATGCATGTAGAGTAATAATTGGGCTTCGCTCGAGTTTATTTAACTTAGCAGGTCCTACATTTCCTCAGATAATTGCTCGACAAGGCGTCACACAAACTTTTATGGTCACGATAATCAGGGATATCCCCTGTCTGCCACCGTCACACAGCCGTTGCATAATTTCCCTAGATGCTACTTAATTAAGGACACACTAATATTGTAGCTAACGTTATATTCACACAAGAGAAAAAAGTATAATTATAAGAACATGTCAATTAGTACAAAATAAGTGGCTAACTGACTTTCGACGTAGAACTTTGCGCGAAATCTCAGCAGTTCTAGTTGCCACACAACATGGACCGCACAAAAAAGTAGAAAAGAGAAAAAAGACTCAAAAGAACTATTGCGCATGGAAAGGTGAGGAAGAAGGAGTAACAACATGGAGAAACATGAGGCTACAATGGAAATAGATTACAAAAAGTCCGTGAGAACAATTTGAGCCTTATCATTAATAGTCTGTAGCCATTGGTTTGTAGAATTCCGAAGACCCTAACCAAGCAGCCTGCACTTCCCTAAATATCTGGTGCAAACGAACAGTCAAAGACTTCACGAACTGTTGTCAGGTTTTTCCTGACCACCCGTAAAGCTTTTCTGATCTGATCTAGTGTCAGTTAATACCGCTGTTCCAGGAAGGAAGGCGATGGTTTGGCATGCGTAACTCGTGTCTTAGCCATCTCAATTAATATAGCTTCTCAGCTTGACCGATTGAAGGTAACTGATAATAATGGCTGAATGTAGTAAGTGTTATTTTGAAAACTTAAAAATCAACTGGTGGACCAGCTATCAATCCCACTGTCACCTCCCTCTTTTAGAAGAGATATTACCTGGGTCAACTTGGAGGCATTAAACTTTGTTTCTATTCATAAGATTTTTTAAATACTGAGGTTGTATTTGTTATATATTTTTTGTTTTTTTTTAGATCCAAGCTCAATTTTAATTCAGCCTTTATTAATATTCCTATGAGTCAAGAAACTAACAGTACAGGAATAATTGATCTGATCAGTGAGACAGCTGTTTACTTTGAGGAGCCATTCGGGTACATTAAATTGTATAATGAATTTCTTGTTTTCCAATTTATATTTTTATCGACTCCTTTCTATGTCATTGTATTTTACTCAGACTAGGAGAATTGTGACTGAAGTTCTCTCTGCCTTGTCCATAGAGGCAATATCACTTGATCCCGTTAAATGGGGCTATTTATCGTTTTAATGTCTTCGTTGATTTTTGTGCTTTAGTTCTCATCCTCCGACTGCATTCTAGGCTATTTCTTTACTACCTTTCAAAGGCAAACACACGTAAATGCGCCAAATGCTTTTAAATTAATATGCATTACCTGCCCTCACCTGTGTTTTGTCTCATGCAGAAAACAAATCTACAGAAGGTGGTAGCTAAGCATTCCGTTGGATATTATGTGTCTGAATACAAGAAATGAGGGTGTGGTCAGAGGGATCAAATGTTAACTTTGCATTTCTGATTTATATATCTGGTGATGGTGGTGGTGGTGAGTGATAAATGGAAATTGATAAGTACACCATGCGTCAGTGGCATAGCGGTTAAGACGCTCGCTGACCATGCACATGGTCCGGGATTCGATCCCCGGTCGACACACTCCTTTACCTTGCTAAGCCAGAAATAATGCTGGTGAAGAGGAAAGGTTGCGAATGAGGCTAGCAACCCCATCCTATAAAATAAACACTGCTACAGAAACTTCAAGCCACTAGCTTGAAGCCCTATGTTCCACTGGGGAACGTGAAGGAAAAAAAATAATATTGATAGATTACAGCTCAATAGCATCAACATAAAAATAAGCTGAATGTCAGAAAAATTAGGAAAGATAATATTACAAATTCATGAATTTGTAGTCTCTACTGAAGGCCAGCCAGGGCAGTAGTAGGGGCTGGACTTGCTTCTTTTGCACACAGAGCACTGGTTGTTTGAGGCGAATTGCAATAGCCTCTGCTGTTTGGAGAATGCGGTGCTTCGATGATTTTGGCAATTTATTTCGCACCTGGTAGATTATAGAGAAGGATTCTTCCACGCTGGCTTTGTGGCCGGTTTGCTTCAGATGGTCCAATATTGAACTGTTAATGGTTTTAACTACACCTTTACTTAGCCATAGTGGGAGATGTTAAAATAAAATAAATAATAAAAATGATGTACCAAGGGGGTAGAGTTGAAGTGGATGGATTACAAAACTTTTAGAATGTTTGGTCAGGTGTTGTCTAAAACATTAACAGTACGATGACGGTAACAGTAAAGACGGCGAAGATCAAGTGAAGTGGAAGCAATTCAAGTGATAAAATTAAGATAAAATAAAAAAGAGCATAACTATGACCAAGGTAAGGAAAGGCGTTCAACAAAACATGCTTGAACCCACAATTTAGGTTTCTGTACATGTATAGCCAGAGCTTTGGCTATGCATAAGTGGGGAAAATGTAAGCTTTTGAAAGTGACTAGATTTGTCCCTCTAGGTAACTTTAAAGAATGAATCATGTGGGGCTGAATGACCTGACACCAGAAGGTGTCGAAAAATTGAAGACTTCGTCGATCCATGCTCACCTTTCATTAACCAAATCGGGTAATGTTCAGCTACGCGTTTACGGAGAACACGCTTACAACGTCCAGTGTAATCGAGCTCCACAGGAGCATGTGAATGAGTATATGCACATAGAGGTGGAAATAAGCGGTAGTTTATCCTCAACGAATTGTCGAATCATATTTCAGATGACAAATACTAAATTTAAGTCAGCTGCGTAAAAACACCGTTTAATACATTTAGATAAACCACTTTTAATTACTTCAGAAATACTGTCACCTTTGAAAGCAAAACTCATAAACAGTGTCTTATTTGGCACGGTGATTTGGCTGGGAATGGTTTCTTTCTTGATGTTTTTATCGATAAACCTTCTAGGATATCCATTATTTAAGCAAGTTGCGCGAAGGCTTTCTAATTCTAAGTCGACTGTATCTACAGAGCAAATGATAAGGGCTAATTGTGGTTCATACTTCTCAATCTATCATTAAATCCATATAAATTTTCTGCTCGATGTTTATCAGTGTTCAGCGAATAGCATAGATCCTTGGCGAGAACTTGCTTTGCTTTTCTGTAACCCTGAAATACTGCATTTACATATAGTGAATACAAAAGTGCAGGTTAACTTGTCACTTGAAAGTTATTCACATAGGATGACACTCTAAATTATTTGATTCTATTACTGTGCTAACGGCTTTTGTAAACAAGTTATATTATTATTATTATTATTATTATTATTATTATTCACTTCTTAGTTGTCAATATCAGTTTGCGAGATATTATACATTGCATGGAGGATTTCATCATTAGCTGACATCAGTTAGAGAACCACTGGAAAACCTGGGAGTACTGGACAACTGTTTCCGTTGTCCTAGTTTAACACTCTTCATCAGTACGCACCCACCGGGGTTCGAACACAGGGCCTCCTGGTTATCCTCCATGCAATCAAAAAAAAATCCCTACAAAACCAATACTTGAAAATATCATACATTCTCTCTTGGTATTGCTTTTCTTTTTTAATCTCTAATAGTTTAACTGTAAGACAAGATGCTATTCCATCATCGATGTTAGCCGAAACTAAAGAACGCCGAGCTGAATTTATTGGTAAGATTTATTTTGCTTAGCTTTCTTCTAGTGTTTTGTTGCATTCAACTCTCTTTTGAGAAGTACATGGTTTCTTTTTACACCGAATTTTTTAGCTTTAGTATAAATGTAATGCTCAGCTGATGAAGATGGATTGATTGATTTTAAGGGCATCATTTCTGTTCAGAATATAAAACAGCAAATTACTAGTCCACATCGTACATTTAAATCAGGTTTTTGTTAGAACTCAGTGCTAAGGAACAGATTCCTTGTGTACAACAAAACTATGAACCACATGCACAATGTGCAGAGACTACCCAGTCGCTTAGACTGAAATAACTAGAATGCAACTCGAGGCGGGGATCTATTGACTGAAAGCCGAGTGCTGAGGCCAATAAGGCATATCCCTGCATTTCGAAACTGTGCACCAGTGCACATAATCAGTTACATCCCTTAATGAACAAGTAAATTTTATCATCTACCTCAATAGGCTGTATATGTTGGTGTTCCAACTGAAACTGGGGTTGCAAAGTCTGTCTCAAATTTGAAACGAGACAATGCAGACCGAGACCTGATGGAATGACTCTGCAAATGTTAAATGACAGTGGATACAGTTTACTGTCTACGTTAACTAAGGTAATAAGGAATGTCAGGAAATCAGAGATAGTCCCGTTGGGATGAAAATAATCACTGGTTATTCCTGTTTATAAGAAGGGAGATAAGTCTTCCTGTGATATTTCTATGTATAAGCTTGATAAATATGGTACCTAAAGTTCTAGGCTCATTAACAGTGTACAGACTGGGCGGCGCTTAGGAAAAACAAATCCTTGGAAACCAGACTGGCTTCAGACTAAGAAAAGGGTGTATTGATTATATCTTCACCCTTCGACAGATTCTGGAACACAGGTGTCATTCTTACCGGCGTCCAACAATCGTCATATTTCCTTGAGGAGCCCCTTCCTCTATCATGGTTTGCTTTTAATAGTTTTTATTTGTACCTTCATTGCTTCAGAATGTTTGGCCAATGCCGATGATGAAATAGGCGAAGCATTTTTATCTGAAAAGCCAATTGATCAAGCAACCTTAAAAGCTGCTGTACACAGAGCTACACTGTCGCATCGATTCGTTCCTGTTTTAGTTGGATCAGCTTTACGCAACCGTGGTGTGCAATTGTTACTTGATGCTATTGTGGATTATTTGCCTAACCCAGGTGAAGTAACCTACCATGCTCTGAATGAAACCTCTGGGTAAGTATCCTTTTCTTTGGGGGGGGGGGGGGAGAGGTAAATATAATTTCTGGTAGAGGTCTCCAGACGGTTAATATTTAATGTCCTAGTGTACTTAAAAATGGTTGATTTTGCCTAACTAAAAAACTCATCAGGTATTGGGAAAGACTGCTCATAATGACGTAAATGTGTCCACTCCTTATCATTTCCCCGTATTCTGAAAATGACCAGTATTCATTTGTCTATTCACTCCATCACACTTATGTTTGTCTACTGTAGTATAATAAGGTTTCTGTTGTTTTATTTCATATGCGCTTTTACCAAGTGTAGCGACTTTAGCTGATGGACTCCTGTACACGAGTGCTACATTGATTCGTTAGTCAATCAGTTAGTGTGATGTTTGTTTGAGGTTGGTCACATACGGTCTGTGTGAAAGTATCAGGATTTTGGTTTCGGTCGATATGTATATGTATGTGAAGTCAGTGCTACTATACGGATCAGAGACTTGCACTGCGCGTCATAAAGAGCATCTCAAACAAACTACAGACCTTCATTGACAGTTGCCTTCGCTCAATACTCAAGATCAGATGGCCGGCCAGAAAAGATCAGCGACAGAGATCTCTGGCAATGAGCGAACCAACCAAGAACCGATTGTCAAACAAATAGGCACGGAAGAAATGGAGATGGATTGGCCATACTCTGAGGAAACCATCAAGTGACATCACTAGACAAGCCATTGCTCGAGTGGAACCCGAAAGGGAAGCGGCGAGTTGGTCGTCAGTGCAAGGGTGACTTGGAGGAGGTCATGTGAAGAGGAGATGAAAGCATGTGGGCAGATGTGGAGCCAGGTGAAGACTCTAGCAGAGAACCGAACGCAATGGAGATGCGCGGCTGAAGCCCTATGTTCCTCTAGGAATTAAAGGAAACAATAATAATAATGTTTTAAAGTGAGGTTTTCATATTTCACATCTCACTCTGCGACAGTTAAAAGTCCTCTTGTGGAACAATACAACACAGTGCTTCGTGGAGATGGTCAGCAAGGTATGTACTAAAATCCTGACCACCGAGTCATCAATTAAGGAGTTATCCTTCTCATCAATCTCCATGGTGGGAAATGGTGACTGTCGTTAGCAGTTACACAATATTTTGAAGTCATCACTCATTTTTTAAGGGTGTACACAACTACTGTTTTGCATAATTTCGTCAGCGCTAATTTCCTCTATCTGTTTACTTTCTAAGTAACATGTATAGAGATACATGTGATTAGATTTAAAGTGTTTCAGATGTGTATTGTGTATTGTCCATTCTGATATGAACTGAAACTCCTCGAAGTAACAAACACACTGGCCAATTCACTTATCTGGAAGTTATATCTATCCTTTCTTCAGGCGGGTATCTGACTAAGCCCCAGTAAGAGTACTCGAAAGACCGATAGCTACTATCTTGACGTGGTGGTCGGGCTTGCATATCAGGATGACCCAACAAACGACCCAACACTGGCTGGAACTATTGTTCCTGCAGGTCGCGCCATGCCAGGAAGATTGTTAGGATAGCGATTAGATTAAAAGCAGTTACTGGCATAGTGTGAGAATTTTTCATTTTTACCCTATGCTGGGGATCTGTGGGCAAAGTCGTACTGCTGGAAAAGAAAGATGTAACAGCAGTAAGGTGTTTCCCTGAGATGACCAGCATGCCAGCTATGATGTATCTCCACTCTGGAGGGAGGGGATTAGAAAAAGTCAACCCGAAAAGTTGTGCATCCCGACTTAACCTACAGTGGTCTGCAGCTGGCGGCAGGTTACTAATATGGAACCAAACCTACCAGCCAGTTCAAACAGACCGTGTGTGACCGGCCTCAAGCAGTCGTTCCCTGGGCTCTGAGGCCACGCAACAATAATTCTCTTCCTGTTTCAGGTACTCCAAGAAAAAATCAACTTTGACGGTGTGAGCAGCTGGGAAGTAACAAGCGCCCACAGATTTCCAGAAGCGTATGAACTCTCCTGATCATCATTCTCATTTATCCCTGTCACCCTCGTCATCTTGCTTCCTTTCCTACTACTGTCAGTACTATTCTGCAGACTAGTCAGTCATCTTTATTTCATTCTGTGACCACAAGCAGCGATGAGAGCCAAAAATACATCCCCGATAACCTCTTAGAACCACATTTCCGGCTTCATATTGGAGCATTCAACGTCAGGAACCTCTGCCAAATCGGTCAACAGGCATCACTGACCGGAACTCTGGCATCTCGAGCCATGGATATATGTTGTGTTTCGCAGACACGCATACAAGACCCAAGTGTGGTTGTTCACTTAACCCCACCCAGCCAACAAGATGAATCTAAAAAATTCACTTTAAGGGTGTCAGGAGACCCCTCAACTAGTTCGCGAGGACTCGCAGGTGTAGGGATAGCATTGTGTGTTAGGGTAGAAAAAAATCACTTCTTGTCTGGTCCCGGTATATAGTCGTATGTGTGCCGTTCGTCTGAACGGGTTCGTTAGAAGAACGAAGGACGGCGTTACCTGTCGTTGTCTTTTCGTAGTCTCCGCTTTTGTCCCAACAGACTGCAGTTCGGATGAACTAAAGGATGACTTCTACTAGAAACTGTCTAGTTTGCTGCCGAAAGCAAAATGTTGTTTCAGCAGGCGACTTCAGTGTTCAAGTAAAAAAGTTATGCCAGACTGAGAAATATATCGTATAGGTGGTACATACGGAGTCCCCTGCCGACGGACCGACGACAGTGATCATCTTCTACGGTTCTGTTCAGATAATCATCTGTTCCTAGTCAAGACTAGCTTCAGGAACAAAGAGAGACATTGTCTAATCTGGCGAATTCCATCACCAAATCAACGTTGGACTCAAATAAACCACATAGTGGTAGGCTAGCGTTGGCGAGGGGCAGTAGAAAACCACCGTTCCTTCTGGAATACATGCGTAGACTCCGATGACACGCTGGTTCGTGCACATTTATGGTTACGATTAAATGGACGTAGAAACTGATAGCAGGCGAGCAGTTACGCCCTCAACTAGATCAAGATACTGACTCCCTAGTTAAGCAGGAAATGGCTTGGCATGTAAATGAGATGGATAGCAAGACTTCTCCCGAGGAAGTCTGGCACAGTATTCAGTTAGCTGGAGACAGTTTTTAATGACCTGAAGCCAAAAGGTAGTAAGAGTCATTGGATTTCCACCACCTCACCCGAACTGATTCAGGAAAGAAAACTGATTCCGGCGAGCTCCGAATATGATGAGGAGCGAAAACTGCTCACACGCGAAATGAATAAGAAGTCTACGCAACAACCATGAACAGTGGTGGGCGACAAAAGCGAAAGAGATGGAAAAGGCAACGGCGATTGGCAACACTAGGCAACCATTCAGACTTATAAGGGAAATAGATGGCGAAAGGCAAATGATAAGTGAAATAATCTCTGAGAAAAGTGGTGCTATGACTAGCTTTGAGGATGGATGACTGGAACGCTGGAAAGAACACTTTGAGGAGCCATTTAATTGGCCTAAATCCACGCTCAACTTACCCAGAATCCAACACCTATACGGCATATAGACAACGGCCCTTAGTGGAGTTACAAAAGCTGTCACTAGTTTTTAACTAAGTGAATCAGTGGGACCTGACAGGATGACTCCAGGGGTGTTTAAGGACGGTGAACACAGTTTACTGTTTGCGTTAACTAAGGTAATAGCCAGCGTCTGGGAATCAGAGGAAGTCCCATCAGGTTGGTGTAAGTTATTGATTATCCTGATATACAAGAAGCGAGACACGTCTTCCTGTGATAAACATAAGAGGATTAGCTTGACTAATATGACATCTAAAGTTCTAGGCCGAATAATCACGCGTAGACTGAGTGGTGCTTGGGAGTAGCAACTCCTTGGAAACCAGACTTGCTTCAGACTAAGAAAAGGGTGTAATGATTATATCTTCACCCTTCGACAGATTCTGGAACATAGGTGTCATACTTACCGGCGTCCAACAATTGTCATATTTCTTGACCTGAAAGCGGGATTCAATTCCGTCGACCCAGAAGTACTGTGGCGATGTTTGGTTGCGGAGGGAATGCCGAGAAAATACATCATATTGATCAAGACATTCACTCTACTCGAACACATGGTGTCAGGCAGGTGAGAGCGTAGGGAGAGTTGTCATCTGAAGTGGTGACAACTAGTGGTGTCCGTCAGGGATGTCCACCACTATTCCCATTTCTGTTTAATTTCACCGTGGATGTACTAATGGACTTAATGGACCTTAACTGCTGACTTCAGTGACTCAGGGATTGACTTGTTACCATCAACGAATAATCTCGTTGACTTAGAATATGGAGATGATATAGTCCTTTGTGCTAGGTGAGGAAGACGCTGACAAAATGCAGTCTTCTGAACACCTTGAGGAGCAGAAATCTTCGAATGCTTGGGTTGTGATTCGCTCGCTCTGTCGAATGTAAAGTGATGCTACAGGACTGGACTACACTGATTCCTAGCTTAAAGATGAGGAGTGGAGTTGAGTGGTGATGTCTGTTGACCACTTCACTTAGTCGGGGAGTTGAATCAGTCTGAGCGCGGATACAGAAGGCTGGTTTGGCATACGCCGACCTATGCCATCTGTGGCGCAGACGTGATATCCGGTTGGCTGTCGACCAAAGGACGTGTTTGGTGCTCAGTAGTTCGCTCCATCCTCGTTTATAGGTGTGAGTGAAACGTGATCATTGTTATTGGAAGACATGAAAAGGCTGGCTAGCTGTGCTTGATTGTAGGTGCCTGCGTTCTATCTCGTGTTTTGAGTGGTGTAATGTCGTGATTAGTATTGAGGTTAGGCTTCGAGTGCTAATGAAGGAGGGGAAATCAATAGACGAGACTGTGAGGTTACACCGGTTGAGATGGTTAGGACATGTGTTACGCACATCTAGCCATCGCCTTCCTCGACGAGCAGCGGCAGCTGACAGGCTAAATGAAGTTGGGAAAAAGCTAGTGGTAGTCAAACCGAAACATGCCTTCCTCAGTCAATGAAATCCATAACATTTAGTTTCAGGCAGTGACGTAGGGAAGAGTAGACTTCCCGTCTGTTTTGTGTTCTCGGGATTTTTTAAGCAATGTTTGAAGGCAGTTGTTTGCATTATTGGAAGTCGTTCTCACTGTTGCAGATGCATTCACTGTTTTTGATTTATCCGATAAAATTCTATTGTTGTTCCGCATGACCACTTTTTATGCCTGATATTTCTGTTTATTATCTATCCCTCTGCCGTCTTGTCCTGTTCTGTTTTGTACATTGAGTCTCGCAACTGGGGCTGCTGCACATCTGTGCAAAGTTCTTTGTTGAAAGCAGGCAGTCAGTCTTACAAAAGACTTATTCTGCTTTCACCAGACAAAGACTGTTTCCATGTTGGCACGAGTTTTTAAGCATCCATGAAAGTTTCTGCAATTTATTTTTGACAGACATTTTATGATTACCATGTATAGAGAAGCGGTAAAGAGAACCAGACTAACCTCTGACTAAGATATTGGTGTTATGAACGAGTGAGCATTTCTTGAAATGCTTTGAAAGTGAAGATTAACTATAGATGAAGTCACCTGGCCTGATAACGATGGAATGTTATTTATCAAATATAAAGCTTAGAAAAGCATTATCGTCATCCTCGGCTAAAATATCTTTATAGCAACTGTAAAGAATGAAGTGTATATTCTGATGATTTTTATTTTCCAAAAGTTTGTAATCTACAACTTTCACTACTGATTATCGTTTTTTTCAAAATGATCATATGGTATTTTCTGAATGCATTTTTCTTTCCTACTCCAGTGAGCCTCAAAAGGTTCTTCTTAAACCACAACGAACTGATGAGAATCCATTTTTGGGACTTGCTTTCAAACTAGAAGTTAGTAATGTTTTTAAACTGTTGACATACATTTTTGAAAATAATACGTGCTCAGATATGTGTATGTGTGAATCACAGCTTTTTTTCAATTTTGCCGTATTTCTTTGTCTATTAATTAACTAATCGACTGCCCTACCTCATCATAAGGATATTGAAAATGCGTAAAACTGTAACTGGATCACTCAGACATTCGAGTGTTTATTCAAGAACATTGAATTCTTCTCTAGTGTAACAGTTAATCTGTGAGAACTTGTAGAGAGCTGATAGTCAGTGGTGTCCGCTAGAGATGCGCAATGTCCGCATGTTTGTTTAATTTCACCATACACATACTAATGGTTGTAGTCCTAAGTGACTTTGGCGACGTAGGGGAGACCTTGCTACTAGGAGACAGTCTCGTTTATTTAGAGTATGCAGATGATAATGTCCTTCTGGGTGTTGAGTTTCCCAAATATCTTGAGCAGAAATATAAGTATTTTTGGTATACGGTTCGCCCCTTCCAAGTGCAAGATGACGCGGAGTGACTGGTCTGCACCACCAACACCCAGCTTAAAGATAGGGAGTGGAATAATTGGGCGTGTCAACCACTTCACTTGACAGAGGAGTTGCATTACTCTCAGTGGAATGATTACTGACGGTGTCTGAACACAAGATACTAAGCGTCCCTGGTTGAATATGTCAATTTGTGTCATGTCTGGCGTAGAGACTTGATATCCGTCTATCATCGACCAGGGATTTGCGCAACAGTTTAATGTGTTCTGCTCTATTGCTGTGGGACATGGTCATTGAAAGGGGACGTCTTGAAGTAGTTGGCTGTCTTTAACTACAGATGCTTGCGTTCTAAATTCCGTGTTAATCGGTATAATACTGTGAGTATTATTGAAGTGAGCCGTAGAGTATTGGGTAGGGAGGAGGGTGGGTCAATCGAGGTGGTTAGGTGGTGGTCACGTGTTGCGCATGGCGAGCCACCGCCCTCGTCGATGAGAAATGGTGGGTGTATCGGATTAGGTTGGAAAGAAGGTAGGGGTTGGCAAACCAAAACCTGGTATCACTCCATGAAGTCTTTGTTTGTTTGTTTGTTTGGACCAGAGATGTAGGTAGGTGTAGTCTGTGATGAGGAAGGTTTCGTATGCTCTTAAAAGTAGATGTAGATTATCTGAGTGGGTTCCAGGCAATTATTGATATGGCTCAGAATCGTTCTTAATGGCGCAGATGCGTCCACTCTCTCTCTCTGATCCTTCACATCCACTGAACTGTCGTGTTATTCCATGTTACTATTCTTCTCCCTCATAATTTTGCTTATTAGAGTCCTATTGTATCTGTATCCTTAATTGATGACTCGGTGGTCAGGATTTTAGTACATGCCTTGCTGACCATCTCCACGAAGCACTGTGTTGTATTGTTCCACAAGAGGACTTTTAACTGTCGCAGAGTGAGATGTGAAATATGAAAACCTCACTTTAAAACATTATTATTATTGTTTCCTTTAATTCCTAGAGGAACATAGGGCTTCAGCCGCGCGTCTCCATTGCGTTCGGTTCTCTGCTAGAGTCTTCACCTGGCTCCACATCTGCCCACATGCTTTCATCTCCTCTTCACATGACCTCCTCCAAGTCACCCTTGCACTGACGACCAACTCGCCGCTTCCCTTTCGGGTTCCACTCGAGCAATGGCTTGTCTAGTGATGTCACTTGATGGTTTCCTCAGAGTATGGCCAATCCATCTCCATTTCTTCCTGCCTATTTGTTTCACAATCGGTTCTTGGTTGGTTCGCTCATTGCCAGAGATCTCTGTCGCTGATCTTTTCTGGCCGGCCATCTGATCTTGAGTATTGAGCGAAGGCAACTGTCAATGAAGGTCTGTAGTTTGTTTGAGATGCTCTTTATGACGCGCAGTGCAAGTCTCTGATCCGTATAGTAGCACTGACTGACTTCACATTGGAGTTGAAAATCCGGATCTTATTTTTGATGCTGAGTGCTGTTGACCTCCACACAGACTTGAGAGTATTGAAAGCTTGTCTTGCTTTCCCGATTCTTGCTTTGATATCCTCGTCAGTTCCGTTCACCTGTAGTTGAAACGATGCTTCCCAGGTAGGTAAAAGAGGTTGTTTCTTTCAGGTTCCTTCCATTTATGCTGATTGTTATCTGTTGTTGTTGTTGCTGTTGGTGATGTTGCCCAGGAATCTTCATCACCTCTGTTTTCTCTATGTTCACCTGAAGTCCTATCTTTGATGCTTCTTCTGCCAACTTGTTGCTTTTCGCTTGCATCACTGGCATCAAAACTTCGAGAAATAATATCTAAAACATGTTTTGCCGCAACGCTTTGTCTAAAAGTCACCACTCATTGCATAATTCCATTGCAGGTGAAGTATAAGCCACTGAGTTTGGTCATCTCAATGTACATTTACAAGTTTAGCTGGTATTGTGGAGACAGTTACATAAGTAAAACGACTCGGTAAGCCGATCGTCGTGGTTAACGTTAAGGAGTCGTAAAGTCAATGCGGGTTTCCATATTGACATACCATTTCGATACAGATCACAAGATTGATAAAAATTCGGCATTTACAATTCTGTACAAAGTGCCGCCCCACTTCCCTAAGCTTGTACGCCTTCGATTGTTAAGCAAGGCTGAGCCAATTGTGAGTTCAAAAAGTCTGTTCAATCCCGCTCCCTCCCATGGCCTTTAACCCCTTACTTAGAATAATTATCCTGGTTATTATTGTTGTTCTATTGACCTGCACTGTTTCAAAAGTCCATGATTAGTATTTTCTTATGTAAAATTGTAAAGAGAAATGTTAGCGAAAATACGTATTTGCTTGTTTGAATTGTGTTCTAAAATACAACTTAGTTGATTTTTTGGATTTTAGTATTACCTGTATACGTATATTTAACCAAATGCTTTTCTAGTCTTGTTGCTCTAGTCCTTTCTCATCACATTGTTTTCAGGCAAGCAAATATGGTCAATTAACGTATATGCGAATCTATCAAGGTTGTCTACGTCGTGGTGATGTGGTGAAAAATTCGCGTACTGGTCGTCGTATAAAAGTAGCTCGCCTTGGGCGATTAAATGTTACTGACTTAGAAGACTTGGAAGCTGTTTATGCTGGAGATATTGCTGCACTTTTTGGCGTGGAATGTTCATCTGGTGATACACTCGTTGATGTAAATATGAAAGAACCATTAGCCATGGTAAGTTATTGATTATATATATATCCAACCTTACACCTTCTACGGACTTATTCTCCGTCAGTAAACTAGGCGAAGTGATAATGTTCACTGAAGGTTTCAATATAGTCCAGAGACTTATCACGCCACCAAAAGACATTTTTAACCAACTATTGCAAACTTTCATCAATATATGCCTGGTTCGATCGAAACTGAGTTGTTATTGTTTGAACGCAGAAAACTGATCTCTGCGTTCTACTGTATAGGGTTGCAAGATTTCCTTGAGACACATGCAATCACGAAACGCTCCAAAGATAGGAAAAAGACAATTATACCCGGAACAGTTTTGTGGTTCTTCTATTAAACGATAATAGCATCAAAAACCCAAAATCACTTCAACAGTGCCGTTAGGCAGCTATGTAGTCCAGTCTAAGTACAAAACGAGCACTTGGAATCAAGCAGAATATTCCAAAAACTCATTCCAAAAGAATTACACACCAACATTCCCTGCTGACAGTGTCTAAGGTGAGAAATAACCTTGATTCACTCGAGCAAAATCATACCGTTCAACGCATTATGAATGATTGTGCAACCACAACCACAAAGACAAGCGTTAAAATTAAACAAATAATGAGTTGTTAAATCTCAATATGTGATATATAAACGTTAAAATAAGGAGAAAAACGGATAATAATTACCAGGTTAGCTGCAACGTCCAAATAAGTACAAATATTGTGATTAGATCATCCAGGAGGGATTCTACAAACAATTTTTCCGTTGCAGTACCTTCTCTTGACGCGGAAGATCAGACGGCCGGAAGGGATAGGCAACAAGGAATTATCGCAACGAATTAGCCAACAAGTAATGCACAGAAGTAGATAGACTAGACAAGCGCGGAGAAGCACTTCAAGCGACTTCACATTCCAGCTCCTCGAGTGAAACATTAGTGGGAAGCAGTAGATTGTCTGTCTGAGGGTGACATGGAGATGATCATACTTAGGATGGGAGTGAGGGTGGGGTGAAAGCTTATCGGAAGTCGTGGAGCTAGTTGAAAATGCTGATGATGATGATGAATCCACTCGAATGCGTATTCACCGCTGAAGCTCAGTGTTCTGCTCGGAACACAACAAGTGAATAAAAAAAGTTCATGTCTCACCTTGAAGCCAGGAGACACTCTCAGAGTGAGTCCCAATCATATGTAAGACTTAATCATTCTAACTGATAAAAAAATCAAAGGTATTATTTTAAAATGAATATTTTAGAATTTGCAGACTTCAGAAAGCACTGAATTTACATGTCACCTCTAATTCTTTTTTTTCTTCTAATTTGTCTGAAATACGGTACTATATTAAACATGAAATATGAAATATAATATACAAACCTCAATTGGTAGGTGACTGTGACTGAATGCTGTCAAAAAGCACAGTCAATGTACGTCAATAAGTAAAAACAGCAGATCTGTGTCAAAGGAGATCCACGTGTTATTCAAACAGCGTGCGGATGCTAAACACAGGATTAAGGGATACGGATAAACATTTTTCAACACGAAAGGGTCCACGAATAAAGCATACGGAGCAAATAATGTTTGATTATAAGAAAATAATTATTGTACTTCTAACGGATTATTAATACATCAAGTGGGATAAACTCCAAAAGTAAATAAAGAGATGGTTAAGGATTAACTAGTACAACTTGCACTACTTACCAGATATAAGTAGTATGAATTTATCACAAGAGAAGGAATGACATAGAAGAAATAGGAGAGGCATTAACACTCATATAACAGTGTTTATGCTTAAATTATTTTCTTTTTCTTTTTTAGGAATCGATGTTTATTCCAGAACCTGTGGTATCTATGTCGATTAAGCCGACAAACAAATCAACTGTTGAATCGTTTAGTAAAGGTTTAGCCCGATTTACACGTGAAGATCCAACATTTGTTCTTTCACAGGATCCAGAAACTGGTGAATCATTGGTATCCGGTATGGGTGAATTACACTTAGAAATCTATGCTCAACGTTTAGCTCGAGAGTACAATGCACCATGTGTATTAGGTAAACCTCGTGTGGCGTTCAGAGAAACTCTATCCGAACCATTTGAGTAAGTTCTTCTTTTACAATGACATCATAATATTACTGGGAGTATTCTTGGAACAATATTTCCCCAAGGTCTTCAGATGTTAATATTACTGTACTTATAAGAAAGTGGAAAGTCAATAGAACTGGAGTGTTTGTTGTCCAAATAGTGGGATGCCTATTTCAGTCCTTAGTAATGATTCTGTTTTCACACCTCTACTCTAATGTAGATATTTTACAATAAGGCGGTCACTGCCTCCAATCTTATCGTTTAACCAATCTTTCCAGTACTCTTGAACTTTGAGACATTTCTAGTATGTTTACTGGTTATATGTATATTAAAAAAGAATTATGTGGGGTATATATATGTCTCTAGTATTTTTTTTTGCAAAAAGAGGTCTCAGTTTTCTGTAGAAGTGGCTATAGCAAATAAACCATTCTAATCAGTATTTTAGATATGCCCAAGACCCTTGTGAACAGAATCTTTATGATTAGCAGTTATAGGATCCACTAATTCTGATGAATAATTGACTGTATGATGAATGGAACCTCATAATGATGGTGACATCGCCTCAGCATTTCAAGTGGATGTTGCCCACAATCTTCGTTTATCAGTTTCACCCAAACCTTAATTAACCATCACCCAACCTTAGTCCTACCCTCACCCTATCCCCACAATGAATCAGGGTGAGACTTCCAACGAAGATTACAAAAAGCATTTTATCGTAATGGTAAGGGGTTTGATTGGTTGATTCAAGGTCACTTGACTGTGGTGTCCATTCTTTCCTCTTGACAAGTTTATACTGTGATATCCGGCCACTTGTAAGATGCGGTTGAGTGCATAGTTTGCCAATTTTTATTCCTAACTAAGATGAACACCAAGCAATTTTGTTGTGGTCCATTCCTGTAGACACTTGATTCTCAACCACTGAGTCTCGCTCCGTCTAACAAGATTCCGACGGTCAGGTCATAATGTTATTGGTCCTCACACAATGTGTGTGGCTCATCTTGTAATTATAGTGAAATAACTCGTTTTTCAAATAAGCACTAAGTGTGTGATTCTCACTACACTGCTTATTTAATGTTTTTGTTTTGTGTCTGTTAGATTTGATTATCTTCATAAACGTCAGTCTGGTGGAGCTGGTCAATATGGTCGAGTAATCGGTATCCTGGAGCCTCTACCACCTGATTCTTATACAAAATTGTTATTTTCTGATGAGACAGTTGGTACACATGTCCCAAAAAATTATGTTCCAGCCATTGAAACTGGTTTTCGTAATGCTTGTAATTCAGGCCAGTTGGCTGGACAAAAAGTTACCGGAGTAAAATTTCGTCTACAAGATGGTGACCATCATATGGTGGATAGTAGTGACTGGTCTTTTCAACAGGCTGCCGAAGGTGCTATGAAACAAGGTGAATTCCATTGTGAATAGCATTTTTTTCATTGTCTAAGAGAACCTTGATTGTGGATACGTTCATGTTTTAGACTTCATTCTTTGGCTTGTGTTTGAGTGTATTTATATATAGTTTTTCGAGGTTTCCAGTTCTTTTGTACATTTCCTACTTGCAGATCAAAATAAGTTTCTGAATTGTTAGAAGTTAAAAGTCACAGGTCTCCAAGTCTCAACCCAGTGGGTGGAGGAGTTAATAATGTGGTCGTCGTATACTCCCTCAGAATGTCAAGCTTGAACTAGATAGTTGTCTAGCACATTTTGGTCTTCAATGATCCTCTCACCCGATGAACAGTGTACGTGGATAGACTCAGCGGGCTGCTGAGCGTTAGCGGTTGTCATAAGTAGTCCCGAATCACTCATATCAGTCAGTAATATGTGTCTTGTTCCACACTGTGTTCGCTTTCTTGGTACGATATAGACATGCATACATATATTTTCTGCTCTTTCGTATGTTTTGTTTCTACTCCTTCTCTACTTTGTTGTTACTTGTGTTGTTCGAACTTCAGTAAGGAGAATGAAAACACAAATTTCCGAGTAACTGTTATTATTATTATTATTAATATTCTTTTTCTTATATTTCTGATTCTTGATAAATCTCTGATCATATGAAAGGATAAATAAGGTTAGAGAAATTGAAATGTCCAATGTTAAAGCAACGCGAAAATCCCCATTGAGCTATTAAAAGGAAGAGGCGTTCAGTGAAGAGTTGCTCTTTTTCCAGTTATATTATTCCCTAGTTGCTGTACAAACGCGTGTGTCTATGTTAAATAACCTGAGCAACAAAATGAATATTTCCGAAGATTTTTCATTGGAATTGTAATTTTTTCAACTAATAAATTACGTCAAATAAAAACCGTTAATCGATTAGAAGCTGAAGTGAAATTAATGAAATAAATTGGGTGACGCAATATAACTGACGAGATTGAATAGAGCTCGACCGAAATTGGGAGAGAGTCAAGTTGAGAACAATAATAATAATAATAAGGAATAAAACTGTAATAGTGGGGAGGGGGAGATGGAGGGTAGGAAAACAATACAGTTAAAAAAAACTGAAAGTAACGTATCCTGCGTTAAGTTCGATTAGGTTCATTGTACTGACTGACCAGACCTCCGCATGCAGTTTCAGTTTTTGCCTGATTGAAGTGATTTTTATCTAAAATTTACCATATATATATATATGCGATTGTAGAGGTTGAGAATTATACTGTTGAAAAGAGTAACTCCTTGATGAACGCCAATTTTACTAAATTGAAATCTGACCGATCGACACTTGTAGTGTGATTGGAGTTCATTCTCTACCTTATGAATGGTATATAGAGCTTCAGACTTCGAGGTCTCAGTGATGGTGGTGCAATTGCAATTCCGGCTTACTATCGGTGAAGCGAGATTTCGGAGTGACGTCAGCCAGGAGTCGGGTGTCTGTTAACTCCCAGGTAGACCACTAAGGTGAACAGCTTTAACGAATGGTCTTCGTCTAACGGCCTTAAACTAAATCCCTCTAAATATTAGACTGTTCATTTCAGTTTCCGATGTAAACGAAATTTAAACGAAGCCGTTGGTTCCTATGACTTGCAAAATTGATGATAATGATATAGAAACCAAGTGTGAAGTCAAGTATCTTGGATAAATTCTTTCTTCTGACCTATCCTGTTCTTCCCATGTCTTAGCGATTTCTAAAAGAATATTTCGTTTGACTTTTTACATTAAGAAGTTGAGGCACTCAGGCATAACCCAAACCTTCCTTGTCTTACAGTTTGTCAACTCGTGTATTCTTCCTTACTGTTCACCCTTATTCTTTCCTGGATTGCTTAAAAAAGACCATGTCATACTTCGTAAAACTCTGAAGACTGTCAGTCAGTAGGTTGAGCGGTATTCCATTGGGCCATATCGTTGACATTGTTACTGATAGGCACTTGATTTCATGCAACAAATTTGCTAAAGGAATTTTGTCAGACTATGAGCATCCACAGCAGCACCCGCAGCTCCAACCTTGTGTCTCTTCAGGTAAAACAAGAAGTCTTTTCAGAAGAATTTATGCACGTACGTCTAAGTATAAAAATTCCACTATACCATATTTGGCACGAACTTTATGTGATGAAAACAGTGTCAGGCATGCACTAACTAATTTTCTTTGCACTACTAAATAAACCATTTCCTTCATCCTTACAACATCAAACTTTATTGTTATTTTATTTCTTATAATCCTCTCAATTTTTTGTTTTTGTTATTTTTTTTCATAAGTGTGAACATCATTTAAGCTATGTTATAACTGTTAATTTTGTATTTCCCCTCACCATGCTGCTATATCAACAGAACATTAGACCCAATAATCTATAACATGCTAAAGTTTCCAAACTGAATCGACAATACCGTCTGGAACAAACTCACTGTTATTATTATTATTGTTATTATTATCATTATTATTATTATATTTAATATTCTCATTTTGTACTTCGAATATTTTTGACTTTATACAGTAAATGTGAAAAAATTTCTCTAGTTAATTTTGTTTTAATTTTTTATTTTATTTATATTTTGAATAAATCAGATGCAATATTGTGACAAACGCTCAGAATTCCATTCTGTACTATAAGTACTGTTTTTGGAATAAAGTAGATTATTATTATTATTGTTATTTTATTTATCTTTATTTAATTTACTTTTGACACCTCTATTCCCTTATCTCTCTTCCCATTAATGAACTCATAGATTGACAGTCCTAGATTCGATTCTTTTGTTAGGTTATAAGTATGTATTATTGAGTTCCCTTACCATAGTGATGAAACAACAAGGCAGTATTTCTTGAGAAAACTCTAATGCTTGATGAAAACATCTAGGGAAAAAGATGATATTATAAATACTTATCCCTTGTTTTGTTTTTCTCATTTATTCCTAGCCATGGATGAAGGAAAATGGTTAATATTAGAACCGATTATGTATGTTGAAGCAACTGCACCAACGGAGTTTCAAGGCGCTTTAATTACTATTGTAACACGACGTAATGGTGTTATCGTCAGTACTGAAACTAATGAATGTGACGCTATCATTCAGGCTGAGGTAGGTCTTACTGGAAGTGGTTTGCATTGCTTTGCAACGTCAATATTGATTCATTTTTTTCGTAAGAAGAAAGCTGTCGTTATTTTTTGAGCTTACTTCAGTTGACACTTTTCACTGGCCAAGAAAACTGTGCCAGCCCCACATGAATCTATGCATGCTAAGTATATTGTGAAATTCATGGGAAGTGTTGATAGTCATTGATTCCCCGATCGGGCATGTATTGTCCCCGTGTTTCAATGATGTATTTTAAAAGATAATGTTTTTAAAACTGTATTTCGCTAGTTGCGTACTGTTGTTCATTTCATTTTATTGTTCCTATATTAGAATACTACTGAAATAAGTCTATTAAGTAGAGTAGCTGTTTAGCCTGAAAATAAACCTGCACAATGAGTTTGTAATGAGTGGGATATACTTTGAATTGCCAATGTATTAAATGATGTATATTTTGATGTAAGATCTAATCACAAGATCATAACTGGTCTGTACACATTATTTTCGTGTGTGTGTGTTGTAATGAAACATAGGTGTGCTGACGTGAAGTAATATTTCCTTTACTGATAATGGTTTTTCAAATCATGTATCCTGTTTGTGTGAAATACTTCTAACGGTATGGTTATCACTTAGATCCTTGTTAACGTATGGAAGTACTAGGGATCTTAGTTATATGTCTGGTAATTGCTAGAGCTCTTTGTATTACTTTTGAGTGTACCTACAGCTTAGTGTTTTTGCGCCCCTGCGGAGATGTCGTGTTGACACTTGTCGTTGGAAACCCTGAAAGCCTCTGCACAGGGCCCCTAAGTCATGATGGTCGAATTTAAGTCAAAGTGTACTAGTTTCGTTATTATTATTATCATTGTTCCATTGGGTTCCATGTATATATATATATACATATATATATATATATATATATATATATATATATATATATATATATATATATGGATCCGCACTCAGTGCTTCAGGAGGAATTCCGTCCGCCCCTGATTTCTTCCTGACCTTCAGTGACTTGATTGCATTCAAGATTTCTGCTTTTGTTCTGGGATTGGTGTTTGCTGGCAGTTCTGTGCCTGTTATTGGTGGTATTTCTGGCCGGGTTGCAGGTGATGGTCAATTACAGAGTCTTTCGAAATGATCAGTCCATTGTTTTCTTGGTTTGTCCTATTCGGCAATTATATCCCCTTGACCATCTTTCGCTGGTCTCATCTGCCCTGCTGTCTCTCTGAGTAGAGACCTGGTTATCTGATATAATGTTGTGAAGTCTCTTTTTCATCCTGCCTGTTCTGCTTCAGCTGCGAGTGTGTCATAGGATTGTCTTATGTATTTCCTAGCACTCCACTTCTTTATTCAGTGCAGTGTACATTGAACTCAGCTTCTCTTTCTGTTGTTCATCGTTGTATTGGTTCATAATGTTTCAATATCCTCATCTTCTCTGTTGGCCTTCACGTGTTCATGTAGTTTTTCCTTGTTTTGCCTCTTCTTTCCTCCTAGAACGGCTGTACACGTTTCCTTGAACATCACTTTCAGAGTGTTCTATTATTCTTCCATACGGGTTTCCTCAGTGATGCTACGTAGTGTTTCAGGCTTTGCTCTGGTAACTGCAGTGAAGGTATCTTTTGTAGTTTCGTCTTTCACTTTCTGAGTATTGAACTTGAATTTTGGTTTATCTCCAGTTGTTTTGAGGGCTTTCAGCTTACCATTGAAGATTCCTTGAACTAGATAATGGTTTGAGTCCACGTCTGCTCCCATTCTCGACTCTGTGTTTGGCAGACTGCGTCTTCACTTTCTTGGACAGTATTGAAATGAGGTCTGTCTGATTTTCGGTGTGTCTGTTAGGTGAAATGTATGTCTTCTTGTGTATACTCTTGCACTTGTACACAGAAGTCTGAGACGAAGCCTTGAATGATCATTTAAGTCCTACATATCAATAATAGTAAGAATAAAAATATTCCTCTAACAAGACAGATAAATTGAGACGTTAGAAATGAGACTAGGTCAAATGAAAGGGTTAACTTAGAGATGAAATAGCAGTGGAGATTAGTCAAGGTTGGAAACAGAATTTATCCGGTGGACATTAAAACTATTTAAATCTCCTATTAACTAAGGTTTCAGCGATGCCCCACTTTGATAATGGCGAATTCTTGTGTCTGTTCGCAGCACTAATTGATCGAAGCACGTTAACTGGGTGTCTGAAGCCACTAAGGAATATAATGTGTAGCTTGGTTGTATATTGTTGGAAGTAATAGCCGTGTGGAATCTAGTCTTCCACTTAAATGGATTTCGAAGTTTCAGTCTTATGAAAATTAAGTGTATATGCTTTCTCGACATAAACATGGATTACCGATTGTTGGTTTGCAATGATTCGATTGCTTACAGGTTGACATCAGTTAGAGAGTCACTAGAGAAACGAGGGAGTACTGGACAGATGTTCCGCCTTAGTTCGGTATTCTTCAGCAGTACACACCCATTAGGGTTCGAACTCAAGAAGTTCCGATTACAAGGCGAGTTCGCGAATCTACAGAATTTGGCATTCATGGGTCATTAGGTCGGGTCCAAGTGACTGAATGCTTCACGAATTCGTCTTGTAACTGAGAGGTCCTGGATTCGACCCTAAGAAGTGCACACTGGACGAAAAATCTGTCCCGTATTCCACGGTTTTCGCTAATGATTCTAATTCTAATGATATCAGCTAGCTGTAGAACCAGGAACGTTAATTGTCTCTTGAAACTATTGTTGGTATTCATGCATGAGAACCAAATGAAGATATCTTTTATCTAGAAATTGTCGTTGTCACTTGACTATTGTTACTACGGAAGTCTAACAAATTAAACTGATTTTAGGTTACAGTGCTGTGTATTGTATATTTTTTATATGTGAATCAATTCACATGAAGCAGCCTTTGTGCAATTTCACCTTGAGATAAAGATTACCGTTGCAATCATCTTTTTCTTGTGATATAGTCAGTCGATGAGTAACTGTTGAATTTCACAATGAGTCAGTTTGACAAATGAACGTGAATCTAATTCGTAGATGTTGTTGTCTCATTTGCATTTTCTGTAGATGTACGAAAAAAAAGTTTTCATTCTTTTTGTTCTCTGTGTTTGTCTTTATTTCGTCAGAGATGATAACTGTGCTATCCTATTTACAGGTACCATTGAATGAAATGTTTGGTTTTGCTGGTGAATTACGCAGTCTAACCGAAGGGAAAGGTGAATTTTCCATGGAATATCTAAAGTATTGTCCAGCACGACAAGCCACTACAGACACACTGGTTCAAGAGTATGAAGCACTTGTAGAGGCGAAATTGATTGCCAGTGGTAAAGTTAGCACTAAGAAGAAAAAGAAAACCTAAATTTATCTTTACTCGTAGAAAAATGTAACTACTGTGAGTTGTATATATAATCTATCTATAGATTCTTGGTTATTATTTGTAAAATTTGTATTCAAATGAATTGAATAAGACACTCGGTCGTCACGTGGACACACAGATTTTTTCACTCATGTACAACAAACAGGCTATGAGACACATCTGTTTGTATATTGGTTGATGACACTATGCAGTGTTGCACCAAGATTGAATTAGATAGGTGAAGCGGGATTCGAATAGGTTACTCCTTTGGTTAAAGGCAAATGATGAGGCTGATGAATGACAAATCCGGGAATTTTCAGAAGAAATAAGTAATTATTAGTCAAGCATAGTTAAAATCCAACGTTGACTTAAAGTGACATCTTGGATGCAATGAAGTGTGATTTCTTTTGTCGCCTTGATTGGACACTTCAAAATGTGTTTGATTGTACAATGGAAATAGAACAGAAATGCGAGAAAATTACAGTAGCTGATAAGATCTTGGAGTGTAATTTCACCTGGAACACTTTCACTTTCGAAACAGTTGCTTCAGCCAATCAATATCATCAATTTACTGACGATAAGATACAGACGAGAGGGAAGGAGAGAGAGAGAGGTGTCGGTTGTAACATTCTTGTGAAACGACAAAAGATGCACACTGAAAGGAATCTATTAACACGAGAACGCAAATAATGTTAGTGATAAGGTATGCGGACGTTATCAGTCTATATGGTGTAAGTCCATTGTATACAACCATCCTCTTTTCTGTTCACTCTAATCATACAGGTATCAATGGAATTAACACAAACTGAAATGAATGACTTGAGGATTGGATTGTTACTTGGGAATAGTGTTGTTGGTTATAAATATGCAGATGATATAGTCTTTCTAGAGATGAATACGCTGGTAAAATGAAGAGTCTCTCGAACACCTAGGGCAGCAATCTTCGAATGTTCAACATGTGATTCGCCACTGTAAAGGTACTATGTATTATGCTGCAGGACTGATGTGCACCTGTTTCTAGTTTAAAGATAGGGGGTGGAGTGGTCGGCCGTGTTTGGAAGTTACATTGTCCCTAACGGTCTGATCACTGACGAAATCTCAGTACGAATACAAAAGTCTCGTGTGGAATTCGCGAACTCACTCCATCTGAGTCATAGATGTGATATCTGGCAATCGATCATAGCTCGTGTGTACCGCTGAACATTTGACTCCGTCCTTCTTTATGGCTGTGATATATAGTCATTGGAAGTCGAAGGTATGGAAAGGCCAGCTGTCTCCGATCACATGGTGAGTAATATTGCGGTCAGGTTTCGAGCGTTAGGTAAGGAGGGTAACTTAATCGATGAGGTTGTACAGCTACATCGACGGAAATGGCTGGGCAAGTGTAACACATGTCATAACCATCGTCTTCCTCAACGTGGATTGGTGGCTGACATAGTGTCAGGTTGGCAAAGAGTTGTTGGTGGTCAAACGAAAACACGGAATCAATCCACAAAATGTTTAAAAGTTAGTTTCAGTTACGCACGAAGGCGTAGTCTTCCTTGATGTGGTCCCCGAGATGGTCAAAGGCAGTGGCTAGAGACAATCGGTGTTATGGTTCAAAATCGTTCTCATTGATGGCGCAGATGCATTCACTCTCTAACCTCCCATATCCACAAAAGCTTACTGTTCTTCCATGTCACTATTCTTTCTGCCTCACATATCTGCTGATTACCGTTCTTACGAACCTCTATTTTTACCTCATTTGTCTTCCTTTGGGTGTTACATGGAGTCTGGGAACTCGAGCTGCTGTACTTCTGTGGAAAGTTCTGTGTTGAGACCAGTGAGTCGTTTTACACCAGCGCGGTCAATTGTCAACCTTTTCAAATTGCGTCTTTAACAGCGGATTATCTAAATATTAGACCACTCGCTTACAAAACCCGTACTAATATGATAGGTTTCTGCTACCTCTGGGTTCGACCATCCTTAATAATAATAATAATAATAAAATCAAGTGAGAAGGAAAGGGGAAAGATAAATGCACGGAATAATTGAAGCATAACTGGCTTACATTTCACATTAAATACTCTTTGTAGTTGTGTAACAAATTTTCGGTTCATCTGAGACGATTACACCACAAACAGATGATTAATTATGTTGTTATATTTTTTTAATGTTTTATGTATACTATGACAGGATTTGTTGGTAACGAGGAGGATCGTTTGCTGCGAGCTGGCGATGATTGGTACAAAATCCCGATGTGTATATACATATGTCTTTCGTACATTAGACAGAACAGTTTAGATCTTGTATATGTTATATCAACACTATTTGCCATGTCTTCTGTATTTCGCTAAAATATATTGATTTGACAATGCATAATCGCACATGTTCACTGTATATTTTAGATTGTTGTAGAGAGAGAGAGAAAGAGATGATTGAAATTAGACTCTCTTATGAAGCTTTCTTTGTACCGTTTATTCGTTTTCGCATATGCTTGAATGAGATAGCTACCTGACAGTGTGGAGGCTAGATAAGAATTGACTCCCAAATAATGCGCTGGTAAGACTGCAATATTAAGCGACGTGTGTTGGCTGAGGAAGATAAGTCAAGTTTTCAATATATGTCGATTGCTAGGACACTTGTTCCCCATGTTGAGTAGTGTTATCTGATGGAAGGGTGAAGTTGTAAGTGGGAAAGTCTAGGAGTACTGGACAGCCTCTTCGTCCTACTCCAGGACTCTTCACAGCACACGCCCACAGGGGTTCAAACCCAGGACCTTCAGGTTACAAGGTGACCTCGTGGACCATTCAGACACTTGGAACCTATTTAATGACCCATGAATTCCAACCTGTGCCAATTCGCGATATATATAGTGCAGCCGCCAGGTGTCATCGGGGAGTAACTGTTCTTTTACTGATGTCAGCTCGTGACCAAACCTGTAGCCAATGAAATCTTTGAAAACCACCACCAGCACTTGAATCGGGAAAGGACACTAACTCCTCATATAGCTGTTGGTCTAATTCACATGGGGTGGTGTGGACTTCTGGACTTGACTTCGTCCTTTCCTTTTACTGATACGAGTTCGAAATTATTCATTGTGGCCCAGTTGTCTATATGGCTCTTCTCATCTTTAAAGGCTAGAGAACTTTGGTTTATCTTAGAATTGTGATTTTGCACAAAGCTCTATGAGAATTTTGTCAGGAACCGATAACACACCTAGAGAATCTCACTGGAAGTGAAGGGGCGCTGGACAAATGTGTTCCGTTCTAGTTCGGAACTCTTCAGCACTGGGTACCACACCAGGAATAGAACTCAGGGTATGTCTGTTGACCATTCTGCCGCTGCATCTGAATCCGATTAGCTGAGGACTCTAATATCTACCAGTTAATTCCTCATATGAACTCCGAAAGGCGAACAAAATAAGAGTTGTTTAGTTTGTGCATTCGTGCAACATATTTCAAACAATCTGACCACTCACGTGATTCTTATAGGAATTTATTCGGTGAGAAAATGAAAACAAACGTAATTTACTGACAAACAGTTTATGTACACATAGGGAGCTTTGTTCTTCATGATCGTTAATTATCTGATACAATCTCAGTCTCGAAATATTTCGTGAATAAGGCCATCGAAGTTTTTCACTTTATGCAAGTTAGATTTCTGTGTTTTCATGTGTACATTAGTATGATTCTGATGTGCATAGCATTGTGTTTTTTTATTCCTTTACGTCCCGAGTGAAACAGACGGGTTCAGCCTTGAGCTTCGGAGTTCCAGTAGCAGTGGTGTTTTTTTCCTATGGAGTTGGTGGGGTGGGATGCTGTCAGCCTCACATCCATCTTCACCGGGCTTACTACCGGCCAAGTGAGATTTCGAAGTGACTAATTAACATTTCGTTTAGTCTTGTTTTGGAAAGCTGGTCTACAACAAATGTACTTCTTTAAATCAAGCAACAAAGACAGGATTTAGTGAATTCATCAAATGTCTGTAGAACTCTTCAGATGAATACTCTACATACAGGGAGATATATAAACTATGAGAAATACATTGGGAGATATACAAACTATATTGAATTAATTATGCAAAACGACACGTGTGAATGTTTTTCAGGTCATGTTCAAGCAGATAGGGGAGGGGGGGAGGGAGTATGAAAAATATTAAAATTAAGATCAGATACATCACGGTTCAATTACATCGTTTAGATAAACAATTCATCATCATTATCAGAAGGACTTAAATATATCAAGGATTGCGAACTGAGTAATATTAATGGTGATAGTAATAATAATAATACTGTTGAAACGAGTGAAGATAATGCTACTGATAAAAGATAGCTTTAAATGAATCAGGAATAATAATAATAATAAGAGGTCGAATGGAGTGTTAATGATAATAATGATAATAATAACAGTTATCAAGTAAAACACATTACCATGGCAGATTCAGAGTGACGCCCGTTTCCTTTTGTACAAAGGGACCTGGTTTAGATCTCCCAATGTATTTCTGATAGTTTATATATATATCCCTGTGTGTAGATTATTCAACTGAAGAGTCAGTCCTGCCGAAATTTGATGAATTCATTAAATCCTGCCTTATTAACATGCGTTGCTTGTCTTAAATTCGTATCAGGAAATAAATATTTCTAAATGTACTACTTCTTTAGAAGAGGATGATTAAAATTACTGGTAAACTCATCAGATGTGAAATTTTTGTTACAATTATTGAGATTTTCAAATTTCAGTGTCATTTTATTACTTTAGAGTATCATACGAAGATCGTTGTATGTATGCACTAACACTGTAATATATATGCCGATAGATGAAAATCTGTTCCATCATGTATTTTCTGGGCTTCTAATGCCAGGTTATATTTTGTTTGTTTATCTTCTGTCTTACAGTTCTAGTGAAGCAGTTATCGCCATTGTGTTACCTTTAGTATTTATTCAATTGTTGCTTGTGGACATTTGCTTTGTAAACTGCACTGATGAAGACTTGTGCCAGATTCCAATAATATCGGTTGTTGGAACAAATTAGTAATTGAGTAGTCAGTAATTTTGAGGTTTCAAAGTGCTTAGCATTGGCGCTTCCTACTATTTCCACTGTACCTTTTTCAGAAACGTCCAAATTGTGTTCAGATTTTGAGTGTTATGGTCAAAAGTGCATATTAGTTTCTTACTAGTGTGACTGTTGGTCAATTGTTGCTTCCTTAACAGTTCTCTGCCTTTCTTTCGCATTAGACAGCCCCCCCCCAACCCACGCACCAATGTGTCATATATCTTCGAGATTAATTCACTAATTATCGCCTTACTTGAGTGAATATCCACTCAGATTTACTTACGATTTGCAAATCTGGAATTTCAGATCACAATGTGTCATCTCCTTGATAGCGTAAAAATAGCAATGAAGAAAGCAAGGATAAATTCATGATGCTAAAAACTGTTGGTTCAAATGACCACGTTGAATACCTCTCAGATGAATCAGTAGTGCTTGCCTGGGTGTTGGCCGTTCCGCTCGTTTGCGACTGTGGGGTGAGCAGTGTATCCGGTTTGACTCAGCTTAGAAAGCTGATTCAGTAGACAGGTTTGATAAATTGTGTACCAGTTAAGTTAATTACTGAAGACTCCTTTCACGACACACTCTGACACATGTTCTCGATACAATATGCTTTTGTCAGTTTTCATTTCAGTCATCTTTCACCTGTAATTCAAATGACTTAAAAATCTTCCTTTAAAATAAAAAAAAATACAAGCAAATAGTGATTGTAAGCCATTCAGTTATAGTAACGAATTTCGAAACTGTAGAAATTCTCATGGTTACCAAGTGTAGAGTTCAGTGACTGACTGGACACAGTGAAATAGATTAACTGGAGGGAAAAACAAGTTGTGTACATTTTTACGCCCAAACATATCTATCTCTGACCGAAATTTATCCAGCGAAACACTGGGAAAGTTATACACATATATCATGACTGAGAATTGAAAAAACAAACTCACGTCAGACTGATGTAAGCGCTACGGAAAGACAGCGAGAGCTTCACAATTGAACTACCCAACTGAGAGAACGCAATAACATCAAAAAATTAGGGGAACACCAGTTATGGTCTCAGGGGAAATTATCTTCAGGTCTTCGACTTTTTAAGATATTATAATGAGTTTCAATCGTCTTCTTGGTCAGTTCTATCGACATGGTCGTGGAAATCCCTTGAAAGTGAGTTCATCAATGCCAGGTTTCTTCTCCCATCTGAATCCGAATTTTCTTCTTCGAAGACAATTAATTTAGTTCATTCAAGTAGCTTCATTATTATTCTAGGGTGTGTGTTTGACATCTAGAAACGAGACTGTGTGTTCGCTTTTCGCTTCAATTTGTAATTTTATTTAACTATTTCTCTTATCTGTTGTTATGAGCACAGAATTGCTGGTCGACACTTGAATAATGTTTCACTTCACCTACCTTTCTTACGTATGTATAGCATCATAATTTCATTGAAATAATTCTACTTTTATCAGTTAATAAATATACAGGCGACTATATAGATAGAAATATTGACTCTCACATGTATTTCAATATTAGTTCCTTACCAAACTGTCTGATCTAAACTGTGGATATGATGTCAGGCCTCTATTATCCATATAATCCAATTACAGGAATTCGATCTGTATCTACAGCTTCACAGTCAGCGAGTTTTTTGTTTTGTACTCGAAGCTCCGATGATCTTGATGCTCAGTTTGTTGAGGTGATGTTTTGAAGTCTGAAGTGAGTTGGTGCCATGTTGTAAATGTATGTGATCTTGTTATTATGCCTTTCTAATAAATATTTTGGGTGTTGCACACATTAGAGTAGAAATATAGTCGTTGTTGGTGCAGTGGTTGAATGATTGTCAGTCACGCATGTGGCCTGGAGTTCTGTCCACATCCAACGCGCTCCTAAATCTCCCCTAACCAGTAGTAAGTCGTTTATAGCTGGAAGGTAGGGCGTGAGCCTAGCAATCCCATCTTGTAGGAACTAAACACCACTACTACTACTACTACTACTAGTACTTCTAGTGTGGTGAGATCTGGCTGCGAGCAAGCCAAAACTGTAGACAACAATTTCCATCAATATTCACGTCCCGAATCAGGCTCGTAAGAAAACAACAACAACAACAAAGCTAAACCTTGAGAAGATCACCAGCCAATCACAGTGGAGTTGACGTGTAGAAATATGATTCGCAGATATATGGTTTGATTTTCTGAGAAACGGCAACAAAGAGATATAACAGAATAACCTTCAGCGAGTAAACAACCAATCAGATGACGTTTCTTCTCT